CACGGGTTTGCTATTGTTTTGTCCTCCATCATGACTATCATGCGGGGAAACCTCTATTGTATTTGACAGCTTACCTGAGATGATGGAGGGTGTCTGTCCTGAGGTAGAGGTTGGAATGAGAGCCTCACGTACTGAGATCTGAGATAGGGGTACATTGAGCAGTGTTCCGGATTTAGGGGTCTCCAAGGCAGGAAATACCCGCAAAAGCCGCGAAAGGGGGTTCAAGAAATTTTGGCCAGCCTGAGATAAGGGGTGTGCTTTCAAAAAGAGGGAACGAGCATATGCGTACCCTAAATAAACACTGAGGTGAGGGGCCGGGCTATAGTACTAGAGCTATAGTAATACAATCACTAGTCACTACGTTTGACGGCTATGGCCTATGGGATTTTACTCACCTTGTGAAAAGTCTAGACACCGATTAGCGAGTAGAACTTATAGAACTGTTCTACTATGAGTATGAAGTTATTGGCAGCACTACAAACAGTGAACACCTGAACTGTTACGTCTACAGCCGTAAACAACACTCGATCGTCATCGGATGGGGATCATATAATAGTAATACGAATCAAAGGCTGAATAAAGTCCACGCATGCGCGTGCTTATCCGATCTGATGCATCCGGGCACTTTTAGAATGAATTGATTTGAACTTGGGTCGTTTGAAAGTAGTGAATTGATTGTACTCGCATGAATAGATTCGAAGTTTGCCTGAATAGGTTTGCACACGGAAGCGGAAACAACAGAGATGCCGGGCCACATTGTAACTAGACGGGCACCCGGTCCCACCTCTCGGCTTAGTTACTCGATTGGTAATCGAGGTGGGAGCGAGTAACAGTCTAATTGTAAACGCAAGTAAGTTATTTCAAAGGTCTTGAATAGATTGAAAGTTGCATACATTGATTGTTAAATGAGCTCTTTCATTGTAAACGTTTATATATGTTTTGAAAGCTGTATGCATTAATTTGTAAATGAAGCTATACATTTGTCGTTTGTAACCTAATAATTCTGAAAACCAGCAGATAGATTCGCATTTCTGGTGATTATGTTAAAAGTAATAAATTAATTTCAAACTTAGTGAACTGATTCGTTATTTTGTATATTAATTTAAAACTTATAATTTCAATTGTTAGGGTGATGAAACAAGATTTGAACGTTTGTGAGTTTATGTAACATGTTCTAAATTCAATTGCAAGTTAGTCAATTGGTTCGTTGTTTTGAAAATAAATTGTACATTTAGAAAATGAATGTTTACAATGATGTGAATGAATTTGTATATAGCAGGCAATTATTTCTGGAAAGTTTATGAATTAATGTTGGAAGTTAATAAATTGATTTGTTATTCTGTGAATTGATATTAAATATTGAATTTTAAATTTCTCCGAACAATATAAAGTAATTTTTTATTTTTATTAATTAATTTGAAATGTTTTGAAGATGATTTAAAATTGTGTATTTGAAATGTTTGAAAGTGATTTTTGAAGGGATGGCTTTCATATATATTACTTAAATCTTCTTAATGTTATTTTAAAACAGTATACTGATCGTTTGTTAACTACCACTGATACTTTATTGTTTACATCCAAACGTGAAATGCGGGGGGATGTAAATATATGTGAGAATTACTCCGCAGCCTAGCGTACGTGAACAGTGAGCGTGCCGCACGACCCGTGCACGTAAATAAACCCTGGCCAACATAAATGTAAGGTTTACTGCCACTGGCCAAAGTAAGATCCACCTACTTCTTAACGATTACGCCACACCTTATATCTATTCTATTTTCAAAGGTATAATACCATTACAGCACCAAATCGCCGATCTCAGGAACTAGGGCATTCTGCTAGGCTAGAACGGTTTCCTACGATAGAGTTTGGCACAAAAACGAAAATAACGCGCTGTTTAGGCGCACTGAGCTAGCGTCCTTCTGTTTCATTTTCACATACTCCGTAATCAGAATAAGCCCCGCGCTTCTTTGTTGATGGCATGAATTGGGGCATCACGACGTGACCAGTTCGCTGACCCTACTGTCTTTCCCCAGCCTGTTTACTTTCGTAAATAATGAAATGCCTGGCCGATGCATTTCGCATCGAAGAGGAAATTTTCTGCATTTTTCACTCCGCTGTCGGAAGTGAACAAGTGCGTCATTCATTGAACAATTCAGCAAAACACTGCACGACAGAGGTTGGAATGTTTGGAGCCAATGTTTACATGCCACAGTGCTATCTGTTGGATGTTTTATAAGTAAATATGGGGATTTTTCAATAAGGAATGCGTTTTTAATGTATTTACCACGATTTACGTATAGAAACTATATGTTATTTTTACTGATTTCTCCGTATCTTTACTTGGAGGTTCAATGCCTTTCGGTAGTTTTTTCTGCGTTTTCTGCGTGATTATTATTTTTGCGCAGGAACTCATTTTGGAAATCCTCCAACAATTTTACTTCTTTCTTAGTTAAGTTAATCCGATGTTTCACTGTTATTTAGGAAGGAAGGTAAAACTGTGCCATTCGCTATAATTCACTCTTCTTCTATAGTATGATTTCCATAATTTTGCTCTTCTGCCCATGATAATATTTCCCTCATCATGAACCTACATTTTTCAGTTCGGACTCAAGCTTATCATATCGTTATAACCTCCTATATCATTAATTAAATCCCCTAGGTATGAATATTTGTTGCATTTTTTTTATTACTTGTTACCTATTAATATCTCCTTCTCTATCCTTTCTCTTGTTTTGTGAATTTTATAACCATTGTATTTGTTTTGTTCATATTAAATTATAAATATTTTTGATTTAGCTAATCTGGAGCATGACTGAGCGATTTTTGTTACTGTTTTATAATCTCCAATTCCTAGAATATCGTCCATATATAATCATTGTCATCTTCTAAAACTACAGACCTCCGCTGACGCGCTGTGGAGACGTGCGCGCGGCCTCGAATTTGGCGCATGTCTCCACTGCGGTCAGCTCTTCATACTTGAACATTCCGCCGGTCGCGTGCGCATATCCGCGGAACTGCGCATCTCATCGTGCGCAGGGCTTAGCGATCAAACAGCAGAGCTGTGCACGCCAATCTTGTATCATGTCTCTCTGGATTCAGGAACCTGTGCTAACCTGTGCGTACGAACATCCACGCACGTTCTGAATGCCAACTAAAGTTGTGCATTGAGGGTGTTCTAAATTTCATGCCTTAGTTATGTTTTCTGTAGGATAGATTTACTGTATCAAGGTGTAAAAGTAACCAAAATAAATACACAAAATGAAATGAAGAGCTTATTTCATCAATTTTTGCAAATTTTTATTAAAACTGACTATTACGAGATTTTGCGAGATACGCTCAATCTGAAGAAATATAGCGAAATATAGTCTCACCTCAGCGTGGATATATCACTGATTTTACCACACATTAATAAAACACCAAGATTGTATGCAGTTACAACATAGAAAATTGGATATGAACACAGTAACACAATGAAAATGACATCGAGCCGCGAGATTCGTTAAAATTAATGTGTAAACTTTAAGCCGGATTTGAAAAAATGGAATTTGAGATAGATTGTATGTCTATGGCAGATAGGTGGCGCTATTAGCTGAGAAGACCTATCGGCACTAGTCCTAAGATTACAACAAACGTTCGTTTGCCCAAACTAGTTCGAAAATTGCACGTTTTGGTGAATACGAATGTTCTAAGACATTTTATCGTTACTCTAGACAATTGCTGTTCTCTAGCGATAACTAACGCGGTAAGTGTCGTAAAAGTGGGAAAACACTGAGAGAATTCTCGTAATTATTACTTTAAATTAAAGAAAAGCAATTGCCTATAGATACCTCTTGCTTATATATAGTCTCTCACTTCCTGTAGATATTTTAATCAACAAATCACTATAGTGATTGACTTTAGAAATGTCGGGCGTAATATTGCTGTTGCCGTGGTGATTTGGTCACGTGACTCCATCGAGTTCACGTGTATCTATACTCTGAAAAACCTGCGACACACTAACATTTCGAAAAGTTCACTCTTCGTTGTGTAGTCCTGTCTTATTAAGTATAACTCGTGATTTTTAATGCCATGCCCGCCAGCAAACGAATTTGACTTTATCTCTTTGTGATGCAGGGGAAGTTATCCGGGTCTTTATTTTTTTCTGCAGGAAAGCGGACGACTGAGATGAGAGAGGAACTTGCATCAGGGAGGAAAGTGGGAGAGGAAACTGCATCGGGGAGGAAAGTGGGAGAGGAAACTGCATCGGGGAGGAAAGTGAGAGAGGAACTTGCATCGGGGAGGAAAGTGGGAGAGGAAACTGCATCGGGGAGAAATCGTGATCTCGATCACCGCCCGCTCGATGGAACCTTCTCCTCTTCTTTCTGCTTCTTCTTCTCCTTCTCCTTCTCTTCCTCCTGCTCCTTCTCCTGCTCCTGCTTCTTCTGCCCCTCCTCCGTTTTCTTCTCCTGCTCCTTCTCTTCCGCCTCCTCCTCCTCCTGCTCCGTCTCCTGCTCCTCCTCGCTCGGACGTGCAGAGCAAAGCGGCGGAGAAACCTTACGCGTGTGACGTGTGCGAGTACAGGACTTGCTACCGCGAGAGCCTGAAACAGCACATGCGAACGCACACGGGAGATAAACCGTACGCGTGCGATGTATGCGAGTACAGGAGTTCTCGGCTGGCGCAACTAAAGATCCACGCGCGCACGCACACGGGAGAGATACCTTACGCATGCGACATATGCGGCTCCGCCTATACCACCTCCGGCAGCCTCAAGAAGCACTTTCTCACGCACACGGGCGAGAAACCGTACGCGTGCGATACGTGCGGGTATCGGTGCTCTCAGCTCAGTGGCTTACAGGCGCACGCACGCACGCACACGGGAGAGAAACCGTACGCATGCGATGTATGCGAGTACAGGAGTTCTCAGCTGACGAATCTCAAGATCCACGCGCGCACGCACACGGGAGAGAAACCTTACGCGTGCGACATATGCGGCTCCGCCTATACCACCTCCGGCAGCCTCAAGAAGCACTTTCTCATGCACACGGGAGAGAAACCGTACGCGTGTGACATATGCGGCTCCTCCTACATCTGCTCCGGGCACCTCAAGACGCACTTTCTCACGCACACGGGCGAGAAACCTTACGCGTGCGTCGCATGCGAATACAGGACTTGCTACCGCGAGAACCTGAAAATGCACATGCGAACGCACACGGGAGAGAAACCGTATGCGTGCGATGTATGCGAGTACAGGTGTTCTCAGCGGGGGAATCTCCAGAGCCACGCGCGCACGCACACGGGAGAGAAACCTTACGCGTGCGATATATGCGGCTCTGCCTACACCAACTCCGGCAGCCTCAAGAAGCACTTTCTCACGCACACGGGCGAGCAACCTTACGCGTGCGACGCGTGGCTGAGTACAGGAACTTGCTACCGGCGAGAGCCTGAAGACTCACATGCGAACGCACACGGGAGAGAAACATACGCGGCGATGTATGCAGAGTACAGGTGTCGCGCGCGCGAGTCTCCAGAGCCACGTGCGCACGCACAGGAGAGAGAAACCGTACGCGTGTGACATTTGATCTTTCAGGTTCGTATCTCCAGCGAGCTCTCGAAACAGAAGCGCACGCAGTCGCACCGAAGAAAGGCCATCTACACGCAATCGGAGTTATGTGATGGACGGGTCTGCGGGTTAAACAGCTAATTCGTCAGACGTTAAACGTGTGGATACGGATGCACTCTCCCAGTAGAATCTAGTGACGTACACACTCAGGCTTTATGAGAGAAGAAATCCTGAAAGGCGAGTGCATGCAATCAGAAGTGATGTGACTGACATTCTACCGATTAAACAGCTAATTCGTCAGACAATAAAGGTGTGGATATGGATGCACTCTCTCTAGCAGGGATGAGATTCTTCCGCGATCTGCGGAAATCCGCGGATTGACAGTCCCAGGGTCGATTTTGTGAAACGTCTAAATTCGTTGAGAAAATTGGGAGGGGGTAACAATAGGCGCGTTCACACACAAGAAAAACCGGGCTGCTAAGCCCGCTAATAGTGAGCTTATTGTGTTGTTGTTCACACAGGCGGAAATAGCTCGCTAATCGCCGAGCGGGATAATTCTATTAAATCGAACTGCGCATGCCTGATATCAAGCCGGAATATAACCCTTCCGGTCGCCGCCAAGAGCGAGGCTGCGGCGAATTGTGCAGTCGTTGTCTAGCTCTGTTTACGTTAACGTATGCTACTCTACGTCTGCACGCATTTACGTAAACAATCGTATTACGCTATAATACAGTTGTTATTACAAGTACAGTTAGTACAGTACAGTTAGTTAGTTAGTCGAGCACTAGCACCGCTCACTGCCGGATGTTGATACGATCGCTTGGAATGCTGGGATAGAACGTACCGGGTACAGCGTTCACACACACGCCGCGGTGCAAATAAGCGGGCTGATTCCAAATTAGCCCAGTCAGAAGTGGTCTATTTTTGGAGCCCGATTTAGTGAGCTAATTGCGTTCACACTTGTAAAAAGCTCAGTTTTTCTAGTGAGCTACAAAAACCGGGTTTTGCAGCCCACTAATTCGCGCGCAGTGTGAACGCACGCTAATAGGCGCGTTCACACACAAGAAAACCGGGCTGCTCATCCTCACTAATAATCGGAGCTAATAGTGAGCTGATTGTGTCGTTGTTCACACAGGCGGAAATAGCTCGCTAATCGCGCGAGCGGATAAATCGAACTGCGCATGCCTGATATCAAGCCGAATAAACCCTTCCGGTCGGCGCGCGCGCGCGAATTGTGCAGTCGTTGTCTAGCTCTGTTTACGTAAACATTTAGGTAAACGTAACTGTACTTGTAATAACAACTGTATTATAGCGTAAATACGATGTGTTTACGTAAACATTTACGTAAACACATCGTATTTACGCTATAATACAGTTGTTATTACAAGTACAGTTAGTACAGTACAGTTAGTTAGTTAGTACAGTTAGTAAGTGATTGTTAGTACAGACTTGAGAGTCAAGACTGCATCTTAAAACATGCCAAACGGCCAAGTCTTGCTGCCAAGATGTATCAGCGAATTCGACGCCGACTTCGTCGACAAGAAAGTGAACGCCGGCGACGATACTGGAGTTATTCCGGCCGCCGCGACAAATGAAGGTAACAATTTATGACGCTTTACTGTCAAGTGACACAACACGATCGACAGTGCCTGTTTAGTTTGGTCACTGCCAAGTACAGTGCATTGGTGTGAACCACATCGTGCTGGCGACATGCGGAGCAGTATCTGGCTGCCGAATTTCAAGGCTATGTAAGCACAAGTGTACCAGGCCTGTATTTCTCTGATGTAATGTACCATGTACGCTGCCATGTCATGTTTTGTTAAACATATAACGTACCTCCCCTGGAGAGGAGAGGCGGATGAGGGGAGGAGAAGAGTGGGAGGAGAGGAGCAAGTGAATGGTAGGAAGGACATGAGAAAGGGAGGAGGGGAGGAGGAGGAAGCGGAGAGGTGATTGGATGGTCTAATGAAGAAGGTCTATGGGAGAAGGGAGTATGGGGCAGGGAGGAGGAGGAGTATAGTAGCTGATAGTAGCCTGCAATAGAAGCCTGAAGTTATACAATGCTTTGGTTTACGCATCTGTAGGATGAGGAAAGACACATTCAACTACATATTGAATGAGCTGCGTCCACACCTTCTCAAGAAGGATACTCAGATGAGACAAGCCATCTCTCCAGCTCATCGGCTTGCAATTACATTATGGAAACTTGCCACCAACATTGAGTATAGAACCCTGGCTAGATTATTTGGCGTTGGCCGCTCAACTGTTTGAACGATTTTCCTAAAGACTGTGCAAATCATTGTACGAGAACTCCAGCAACGACATATTGCAATACCCAGTGGACAAAGGCTTCAGGTAATATCTTCCATCACTAATACGCTTCATATTCATGAACAAGCTTGCCCAAGCAATATTAACGCAATCCACCCTAAATGAATAGAAACCACTCGCGGATTTACGCCAGTGGTCTGAGATCTATAAAATCATCCTGAACATTATAATAATAATAATAATATAATATAATAATAATAATAATAATAATAATAATAATAATTCATAATTCATAATTCATAATCATATTAGGTAATATATTCTATTCAAACCAATTTATTATAGAACTGTTTTTTGTGTGTGTTTATTTTCAGGAATGCTTGCATCGCTTTGAAGGAGCTTCCCTCAGGCAGTTGGCGCCATTGACGGATCACACATCCCTATCGGTGCTCCCAGTGATTACCATACAGACTATTTTAACAGGAAGGGCTATTATTCCATCATTTTACAAGCAACAGTAGACAGTTCTGGACAGTTTATTGATGTTATAGTTGGATGGCCAGGGAGTGTGCATGATGCAAGAGTTTTTTCAAATTCACGCATTTTTTATAAACATATGGTTGGCACTCTTTTCTCACTTCCCCCCAAAGTTATCAATAATGTCAGGAGTGTATCAATATCAGTATATTGATACACTCCTGATAATGTACCTGTTCCAATTATGATTCTTGGCGAACCGGCATATCCCTTACTTCCCAATCTTATGAAGCCCTTCAGCGACACTGGCCGCCTTACTCCTGAACAACACCTATTTAATTATAAGCTTTCTACATGTAGAATAACTGTGGAGCATGCCTTTGGCAGGCTGAAAGGTCGATGGAGAATACTTTCCAAGCAAATTGACAACGATCTGCAATATATCCCCAGGATTGCCCTTGCGTGTTGTGTCCTCCACAACATTGTCGAATCACATGGAAATCATTTCCACGCTGAGTGGTATTTCCGAGAGACTACCCACACCCCTCGCATTTCAACTGGAACACCTCGTGTAGATGATCAGGACTCTGCTCCAGCTGTGAGTATTGCAATAACTCAGTACTTGCAAGCTCAGCAAGTCCCAGGTTTATGAATGTCATCATGTATTACATCTCTCTCTTACATCTCGTTATATCTCGTTATATCTCTTATATCTCGTTATATCTCTTTCTCGTTATATCTCTTACATCTCGTTATTCCGAAGGTTTGTTATTCCTAAGGCCCAGAAGATTAATAGTTTCTCTGAATTTTTTATTTTTATGACGTTTTGCGATTTCACCTTAGGTTAATGTTTTGTGCTCTGACAAACATTTTTTTATTCAGATGTGTTCGGTAAGGGGTACTGTACACGTAGCTAATCTGTGCCGAATTATAATTATTGTAATAAGTATCACTCTGAATAAATGATGTTTCCTTTGACGCTCAGTGTATTTCCCTACACACAGCTTCATTTCAAGTGTAATGTGGTGTTGTATTAATTGGCAAACCCTAATATAACAATCGTACATATTACACACTTCAAACTGTCACCAAAGTAAACAAAATTAATGGATCTACCTAATCAACAAATGAAATGTAATAGGAAATATTTATAAAATAAGATACAGGTACACATACAAAAAAACAAAGTTGGTTCTGCAAACCAACATTTTTCAATGGCACAAATGTCCTTGCATAGAGTTATCGTGTTTCTAGATAAAACTTGATATATAATATAGCACACATTTTCCCCAGAGTTATTGAATACTAAACTTGGACAGTGTCCAAAAGCACACAATTTTAATCTAAACATCATACACATTTTTAAGTACAAGTGAATACTTTTTCAAAAATCAAGGTGCACTTAAACATCAGCAGCCTCATACTTCGGCAAGAAAACTGTTTTATACTTGAATGTATATTAATGGGACTAAGTACAAACTAACACACCATGAACAAAGAAACACAACTTCAGTCCTGTCAGTATTATCCTCAGGCATCGTATATAGTATTAAATCGTATATCGCATCGATCCGTTATAGACATTAGTATTAAACAAATTAACTAACCAATCATCGTTAGCATCAAATAAACAGATACTCCATTCCAGATTCATATAGTGTGGTCTTATCATGGTTCAGCCATTATACCTGGCCTCCGGTAATGGTTGCCTGCATGCCTTTGAAAAGTTGTCATTAAACATGGGCAAATCTTTTCTTCCCTCCTGCTGCCTTCCTCCTCTTCTTCTCGCTGCTCAGCCTAGCAGCTTCCTCCCTGCTTAAGCACACTTGCTCTTTGTCGACACTCTCTGTCGAATTCCAACCGCTCCCTCTCCAGACACATTTGCTCTCGATACAGATCCATCTAGTAAAATAAATATTGTAAAATATAAATATAGTAAAAAATTGTGTTTTAGTAAATAAAAATTATGTTTTTTTTTGCATTTCTTCACTGCAGACAATTAGGTGAATACCCTACTATACCCTACAATAGTATGTAAAAAAGTAAGACAACAATAGTTTATACTCTAAATCAAAGTAACACACCCTTTTTTCGCGGTTTTAATTTTGGGCGTTGGCATCAGTTGCGCAGTGACCCCTCGGTCGCCCCCCCCCCGAGTGTGAGATTGGGGGGAGTGGCTATGATTTAGAAATCACATGTTAGTTCTTGAATAGGGCCATTTTCTTAATGTGTAAAATTTATGTGACT